GTTTTCCGTGTGTGTTTGTTTTCATTTGGTTCTCTGAAACGTGCGCAGAGTGCGACGACGAGGTGAATCCGTTGTGACTGTATCCCAAAGCAGCACCCGGGTTGGGGTACGCAAGGAGAAGAAAAAGAATAATCGCGGGGAAGGGGGTGGGGAAGAAAAAAGAGGGGGAAAAAAAAAGTTATATGAACAACAGCAACAAAATTACTGTTGTATTTTTGTTTTGCTGAAGTTGCACGTGTCAACTCTTGCATTGCGTCACAGGCACAACCGCCGATTCTGCTGCTGCTGCTGTTGCTCAGTCTGAAAGGCAGAAAAGGCGTATGGACTTGTAGTTTTATGTGTTTTCATGTTTGTTTGCTTTTATTATTCTCCTCGTCGTGACTCTGCGTGCGTTGTTTTTGTTGTTGTTGGTGGTGGTGGTGATGGGTGGTGCCGTCCTCGATCTAATTGCCACCCGCGTCTCTGTATTTTTCTTTTTTTTCACTATTTCTTCCACTCCTTGTGTTTTTGCTCAGCGTCGCTGCACGTACGAGCGGGTAAAAACTCATTGCAGGGGACGAATGCGAAATTGTCGGCAATAAATTGGCGTGTTTCTGCCTCCTCTGGCAGTGAGGGGCGTCTCTCTCTCTTTTTCTCTATTTTGTGTGTTGTGTTGTGTTGTCGTGCTGCTGTCGGGGTGTGTGTGTGTGGTGGGGGTGGCGGCAGCAGAACGGAAGAAGGAGCCCGTTACCCTTTTAAAAGAAAATACACACGTGTGAACGCAAAGGACAAATAAATAAATTGTACCAAAAGAAAGGCCAAAAAAAAAATAAAAATAAAAATAAAACTGATGATCTTCACGTGGATCTCGATTGGCCTCAAACGGGATGTTTCAAATGGGGTAATGGAGTGGTTTTGCTCCTGTTGAATGCAGTCGCGCCGGGGTGGAGCCTCAGGCGAGAGAGTAGAGAAAAATAGATGGATGTTAAAAAAAGATGTTTTCTGCATGTTTTTGTTGGAATGGAATGAGCGTTTTTTTATTTATTTTTATTTTTGCTTATTAGGTGTGTTTATGTCTGTTTTTGTGGATGAAATAAAATTTCCCGCAGCATTTCTTGTTTTTTTTTTATTTTTTTTTATTTGCTTTATGTGTATACATACATCTTGTTTTTTTCTGACGCACATACAAATGGAGAGAGAGGAAGTGAGAACTTGTGTGTGTGTGTGTCAGGGTGTTCATGTGCAGTGGAGTCTCTTTTCACTGTGAATAGGGGAAAAAGGGGAACTCGCTGCACGTACGATATTTCAGCATCAAAGAAGAAGGAGAAAAAAAAAAAAAAAGAACGAACAAAAGAAAAATCATGACTGACTTTCTAGCGGGATGGATGGGTGGTATCGCCGTGCTTCTCGTTGGACACCCCTTTGACACAATTAAGGTTTGGCAGCAGAGTAGGCATGCAGTCGACGTAGCCCTCTCCATTCCAGCTCCTAGAGGAAGTAGTTTTACGGCGGCTATGGAGTTGTACCGCAGTAATGGCGTGCGTGCATTCTACAAGGGGTTGTGTGCGCCGATGTGTGCGGTGGGATTTGCAAATAGCGCTTTATTTGGGACGTATGGCGTCATTGTGAATTTTTTTATTCGCAATGAGTCATCTCAGTATTATTACGACGATGATCACCACGTCACTGTGATGTACACGAGTCGGCAAATAAATGGAAACCATGCTTCTGGCAACACGTACCAAAAGCAGGACCTTTCAGAGCACTTCCGCACAGGAGGAGGACTTTCCGCCTTTGAAAACTTTATAGCCTCCACAGGCGGTGGCGTAGCGCATGCAACCATTATGAATCCATTTGAACTTGTCAAGATTCGTCTACAGACGGAGCATTTGTTTCCCCACCGTCGGTATCTTGGTACTGTGCACTGTGTCCGGCGGCTGTACGAAAATGGAGGAATAAAATATTTTTTTAAAGGGTTTAGCGCAACTCTAATACGTGATATTCCTGGGGCTGGAGTATATCTTTTTAGTTACTCCTCTCTCATTCAGTTACTTGGAAGCGAGAAAAATTACAGCATTCCACATATTCTCATTGCGGGTGGTTGTGCTGGACTGGCGCAATGGATCGTGATTTTTCCTCTTGACACTATCAAGACGAGAATGCAGGTCGCCAAGCAAGGCGAAATGCTGGGATGGACGCGATGCGCAAGGCAGCTTTACAAGATCCATGGGTTTACCGGCCTTTACCGAGGAATGGCACCGGCTCTTGTGCGTGCATTTGCAGCAAATGGGGCGGCATTTGCCGGTGTGGAGGCGACACTGCAGTTTTTCCGTACCACAGGATTAGAGGACATTGAGGTCTGTGACTCATAAGCATGGATTGCACAGGAATGTTCCTCAACAAAGCAACCCAGAGAAGGTACATATTTACAGAAATATATATTCAATTTTGCATGCCAGTATGCATATGGCTGGCCTTTTCTTCTTTTTTTTATTTTTATTTCTTTGCTGCGGTAGTTTATTATTATTATTTTTTTTTTTGGAATTCATGATGTGTGCCTTTGTGTGTGTATGTGTGTGTTTATCTGCCGGACGTCGTTTCACGGCGTCTTATGACAGTAGTATTTATCTCTGTATGCGCTCTGATCCTTCTTGATGTAGAGTATAGCATAGAAAAACAACATTTTTTTTTATTAAAAAAAAAAATTAATTCATTATGGCCGATCCCTTCTACGATGCCCGTAACGCCCTTGCGATCGGCAATTATCACCAGGCTCTCGCGGAGGCAAGCGGAGCCAAAACGACACTTCGCAAACCCGACGATTTGGCCATCTTTAATACAGAGCGGGAGGCCCTTCTATCTCTTGCTCAAATTGGGCTGGGTCAAGGGGAATCTGTCGTAACGCAGTTAGCCTCCGCGTCTCATCCTACGTTACTGGCAGTGAAAAACTGGGCGCAGTTTTCTTTGGCCATAAAAAATAAATCGCCTGATGGAGCCCTCAATCAAACTGCGGCTTCGGCGCTAACACAGTTAACGGAGGCGGCAGAAGAAGTGGATCCTGCACGCATTCAGGGGGCGGTGCTCGCTGCTTCTGCGCTTCTTGCTTCTGGTGATAATGCTGGGGCAATAAGTTTGGCCAAAAGGTGGATAGGTGAACTTCCAACACCGGAGGGTGCCTCCAACATACGTCAACAAATGGAACTGCGAGCTGTTGTTGTCGAGGCACTTCTCCGTATGCGACGTTCAGAAATGGCTAGAAATGAAGTAAAAAGCATGGAGCAGCTGGACGATGAGTCTGTGCTTACAGTATTGTGCTCAGGTATAGTGAGCCTTCACGAGGGCATCAAGTCTCGCGATGCCTATGAAAGAGCCATTCAGCGCTTTAAGGAGCTTTCCATGCGTTGTGGTCAGAGTGTGCTAGTACATAATTTAATTGCGTTAGCACAAATGGAGCTTGGCGATTTCACGTCGGCAGAGCGTAGCCTTCTCGATGCCTTGGCTATGAGATCAAATGATGTCGATACGACGGCGAATCTGGCGGTTGTTTCGTCGTATCTTGGAAAAGCAGCAGACTCTACGAACCGTTACACCCAGCAAGCGGTTGCCATCGCTGGGACATGGAGTCATCAATACGCCGCCATGAATGCACGCCTGGAAGAGGCTGCCTTGCAGTTTTCAAAGACGGCGTAGTTAGCAAACAATCATGAAGAATAAACCTTTAGGATGTGCGTTGAAATAGTAAGAATACTACACTGTCTTTTTTATTGCATTAATTGAGTGGGAGAGAGCGAGAGAGATGGAGTTGTTGCCAATTCACCTTGTCAAGCTCAATCTTTGGAAAGAAGGTGGAGGTGGGAAATCAATGAATGAATGCTAGTAACGCATGGAGTTCCCATTTCGTTTGGATATAATTGTTTTGCATTTCTATATTTTTTTTTCTTTTTTTTTTTTGTTTTTTGCGTGGGGATGAAGGAAATTTTTGGACTGGGGAAAGAAGGAGTCGAAAGGGTCTTTTCTTGCCATGATGCAGCACGGGGTGCGCTGGAAGGCCGCAGCAAATCTTGAATTGTTGCTGGGATCGGAGCATCCGCCCGCCCGTATTGTTCGGGACGTTACAAACGCCTCAGCAAATATTGATGGTGCGGCTGTGGATGCAAGAAACACGGTGAGTTTTAAGAACACGCTCTACTGCAATCGACAGGACGCTGGCTACGTTGGCACATGGCAGCGCCTGGCTGAATACTACCGGTTTATGTTTTCGAAAATTCCTCTCTGGGAAAAGAGTGTCCAGCACGGTGAGAAAACGAAGGAAACGACGGAGGATTCCGTGGCGAAAAACGAGGAGGAGGGGGATGTTGAGGTGCCTACGCCTCACGAGAACGTTTTGCCGCCGACTTATCGAGCGGTAGGCGTTCTTACGCAGACGAACAACCCGGGCGATATTGGAGGGGACCTCCTCCTTCCATGGGAGTTTTATCCGGTGACAGACATTAACGATGAAGATGCCTACGCTGAGTGCATCAAGGCCCTTTTGAGAGAAGCCCCAGTGGTCAATGGATTACTTCATATTGGGGCCGAGGAAGAAGACGAACTAGGGGCGGCAGGAGCCACGATGGCAGCTTCGAACTTAAATGCTTACAGCCGAAGTGACGGGAGGCTTTCGATTTACACACGTCTGGTTCCTCAATTTAGTGGCATCTACCCAGGGATGGCCGTTGGAATTGTCGGCGACCCCTTCAAGCGTAGCTCGTCCGGCATGTTGACTGGTGTTTTGGTG